AAGTAAAAATAAGCTCAAATCTATTCCTCTTCATTTAGCTGCACTTATCAATATCCCTGCACTCACTTATTTTTTTCCTTACATTTATTTTCTTGGTTTGCATATAATCATTCATATATATATATTATACTTATAAAAGCTTGGAAGCAGGAGTGGTATCTACTTCCACAAGAGCTTTCTCCTGGAAACCCTATGAATCTGGAGAAAGGACGAAAGTTATACAGCAGATATCCAGGACTTTCATTCACAGGATCGCTAGCAGTCACCTGCGACAGCACTTAACAACCACCACCACCAACAGCAGAGATAGAGAGAGAGAGAGAGACAGAGCAGTTGGCCTAGCGGACAGAAAGCCATGCTCCCGAGCCAAAGGTAGGTGACTCTACTCCACGGCCCTCAGGCCTCCCTTTAATTGTTTTTTGTGAAACATTCTTCTAGGTAGTATAACCCTGCTATGTCCACTTGCTGCACAGAGATAACTCATGGTTGCTGTGAAGCCAAACACTGTGACACTGAAGAGTCAAATGTGAGAATGGTTACCCATGGTCGACAGTGTTTGGTGGAGCTCCCCAATTAAAACAAGCTTGGAAGCAGAAGTGGCTGGCATCCACTTCCACAATAGCTTGCCTCTGGAAACCCTATGAACCTGGAGAAAGGACAAAAGTTATACAGGCGGTGTCCATAACTTTCATTCATAGGGTCGCTATGAGTCACCTGCGACTCGATGGCACTTAACAGCAACAACATACACACACACATGCACACACACACACTGTGTTTCATTTACGTACACTATGTTTTATATAATCATTCATACGCACTGTAATTTATATAATTAATTAATATTGATCTATGTCTATTATGACTCCATCTCTCTAAGTCCTACTGAATCTTTCTTATTCATTCACACACATCCACACACCCCCATCCACCTACTAACCTCTGCTATCCTACTGATTTTCTTTTTTCCCCCTTTTGTGGCTCATTTCTCCCTTTCTTTTCCCCCTTTTCTACATTTATACACATCTTGCTCAATTATCCTCCCATTTTAATCATAATGGTTGTATGCAGTATTTGTCCTTGTGAGACTGACCTATTTCACTCAGCACACTATTCTCTACATGATCCCATTTTACAAAATCATTGTTCTTTAGTGCTGCATAGTACTCCACTGTGTGAATGTACCACAATTTCTCAATCCATTCATTTGAGGAGAATTTGGACTGTTTACATTTTCTTGCTATTGTGAACAATGATGCTATGAATATAGGTATACAAATATATCCATTTGGGTCTCAATTCTGATTTCCTTAGGTCATATTCCTAGCAGGGGAATATCTAAGTATATAGAATTTCTACGTTCAGCTTTTGTAGAAAATACCAAACTGCCTTCAATATGGTTATACCATTTTACAATCCCACCAGAAATACATAAGAGTTTCAACGCCCCTGCATCTTCTTCAATGCTTATTGTTGGCTGTCTTGTTAAATTTGCTCCTGCTGCTGGAGTGAAACAGTATTTCATTGTTGTTCTGATTTGCATCCTTCTAAATTCTAGTGATTTTGAACATTTCTTCATGTGTTTGTTAGCCATCCATATGATCTCCTTAATGAAGAATCTTTTCATGTCTTTTGCCCATTTTGTGATTGAGTTATCAGTCTTTTTCTTATGAAAGCCCTGTAATATTCTGTAAATATCCTTCTGAGAACCTTGTCTGAGATATCATTGCCAAACTTTTTTTCAGGTCTATGGGATTTTTTTTCCACCCTACTGGGAAAAGTTTTTGATGCACAAAAAGATTGTATTTTAAGGAGGTCCCATTCATTGATTTTAACTCCTCCCAACTATGCATTTTTACAAGTTTTCAGGCTATGAGCTTCTAAATTTGTTCTCATTTGTCTCTTATGATCTTTATGGTTTGGAGTTTTAGTCTACACACACTTTTGAGTTGTTTTTGTGTGTGTGTGTGGTCTGGAACATGGATCCTGTTTCAGGTTTTTTTTTAACTATCTGTCCAATTATGTCAGCACTATTTGTTAGAGGTTGCCATTTTCCATTTAATGGGTTTTATTTCCTTCTGGGTGTCTGATTCTATTCTATTGGTTAAATGTCAATCATTATACCAATATCATGCTGTTTTGATTACTACAGCTACTTAGTAGGTTTTGAGATCAGGGAGCGAAATGCCTCCTGTTGTTGTTGTTGTTGTGTGCCGTCGAGTCATTTGCGACTCATAGCGACCCTATGTACAACAGCCCTAAACCGTGCTCTATCACCTGCGAATCTCACTGCCTCTGATACACCCATAATCCACCTCATAGAGGGTATTCCCCTCCTGCACTGTCCCTCTACTCTACCCAGCATGATGTCCCTCTCTAAAGACCTGTCTCTCCTTACAACATGTCCAAAGTATGTCAGATGAAGCCCCAGAATCCTTGCCTCCAAGGAGCAGCCTGGTTTAACCCTCTCAGGATGAATCTGTTTGTTTTCTTGGCAGTCTATGGTACATTCAATACTCTTCTCCAGCACCACAGCTCAAAGGAATCAATTCTCCTTCTATCCTCCCTAGTCATTGTCCAACTCTCTGATGCATAACAAGTGACTGCAAAAACCATGGCCTGTATCAGGCGCACCTTAGTCTCCAGAGAGACACCGTTGCTTTTGAGTACTTTAGAGAGGTCCCTAACCACAGACTTTCCCATCACAATACTTTTTTTTATTTCCTGGCTACTGGTGCCAAGAGCGTTGACCGTGGAGCCGAGCAAACTGAAGCTGTGAACACTCTCAATCTCTTCACCATCCATCCTGATGCTACCGATTGGTCCGGTGGTGGTAATTATTGTCTTCTTGACATTGAGCCTCAGTCCATATTGAAGGCTGCAGTCCTTGACCCTCTGCAGTAAGTGCATGACGTCTTCTTCAGGTTCAGCGAGCAAAGTTGTGTCATCTGCATAATGCAGATCGTTGATAGATCGTCCACCAATCCTAACACCACGCTTCTCCTCATAGAGCCCAGCCTTTCGGATAATCTGCTCTGTATACAGGTTGAAAAGGTATGGAGATAGGACACATCCCTGGCGTACACCCTTCCCAATTTTGAACCATGCAGTATTGCCCTGCTCTGTTCTGACGACTGCCTCTTGGTCCAAGTATAGGTTTCGCATTAGCACGATTAAATGTCCTGGGATTCCCATTCTTCTCAGAGTCAGCCACAGTTTGTTATGATTCACGCAGTCAAATGCCTCTGCATAATCAATGAAACACAGACAGACATTCTTCTGGTATTCTCTGCTTTCAGCTAAGATCCGAATGCCTCCTACATCATTTTTTTTCCCCGACAAGAGCTTTACTTATTCTGGGTCTCTTTCTTTTCCATATGAAACTGGAAATCGTACTTTCTATCTCCTTAAAGAATTTGTTTTCTGTATTGGAATTGCCATAACCATGGAGATTATTTTTGGCAAGGTTCTCATTTTCACAATGTTCAGTCTTTCTATCCATGAATAGGGAATATTTTTCCTCTCAGTCTGGTATCTTACTGTTTTTGTATAGTAGTCTTTTGTAATTTCCCTTATATGAATCTTCTATGTCTCTAGTTAGGTTTATTCCGAAGTATTTCATCTTGTGGTTGACTATTATAGTATTTTTTATTTCCTTTTCTGTGCTTTCCTTGCTGCTGTAGAAAAATCCAATTGATTTCTTTACATTGATCATATATCTCATCATTCTACTACATTGGTCTACTAGGTTTTTGTTGAGTCTTTTGGGTTTTCTGTGTACATTACCATATGATCTGCATATAGCAACAGTTTCACCATATGCCAGTTCGGATGCTTCTTATTTCCTTGTCTCACATTATATACCTAGAAAGAACTTTCAATACAATTTTGAGTAGGAGTCCTGATGGTTGGCATCCTTTCCTGGTCCCTGTTTGCAACGGGAATGTGTTTAAAGAATTCTGAGAATGATGTTGGCTTTTTGGTTTTGCATATATGCTTTTCACTATGTTAAGGAAATTCCCCTCTATTTCTACTTTGCTGAATGTTTTAATCAGGAAAGGGTGTTGAATTTTGTCAAAGGCCTTTTCTGCATCAATTGATAGGATCATATAGCCCTTGTTATTTGCTTTAATGTAATGAACTACATTTACTGTTTTTCTTATGTTGCATCCCTATTAAGAATTCCACTTGATTGTGATGATCTTTTTTTTAAATATACTGTTAGATCCCACTGACCAGAATTCTGTTAAGGATTTTTGTGTCTATGTTCATGAGAGTTACTGGCTCATAGTTTTCTTTTGTGATGATGTCTTTACCTGGTTTTGGTATTAGGATCATGCTTGCTTCATAGAATGGTTGTGGGAGTGTTCCTTCTTTTTCTTTTCTTTTAAAAAAAAAGTAGAGTTGGTGATAGAGATCTTCTCTGAATATTTCATACAATTCACCATAAACCTGTCTGGACTGGACTTTTTGTTTGAAAGAGGTAAGGGGAGTTGTTTTATAATTTCTATTCTTTTATGATGGGTCTGTTCAAGTGTTCTACTTTTATCCGTGTCAATTTTGAGAGGGTGTAGGCTTCTAGGAATTTGTCCATTTCCTCTATGTTTTGAAATTTATTGGATTATAGCTTTCCATAATATTCTGTTATTATAACTTTAATTACAGCTGGCTCTGTTATAATGTCATCTCTTTCATTTCTTATTCAAGTATTTTTGTCTTTTTTCTTAAGCACCTTTATTTTTTCTAATATTTGTTAAAATTTCAAAGTCCATCAGTTTATTTGCTTATCACAATGAAATTTACCTCAAATATAAACAATTATGAGCATATAAATACCTGTTACTTTATAATCTAGAACTTTAATATGTTATTTTATTATTTTTCTTTTGACTCTTAAAAATTAAAAACAGAAGGAAAAAATCTAATTAAAAAAGAATCTGCAGAATCTAGTAATTATTAAACATGATTTCAAGACATAAATTTCAAAAGAATCAACATACCTGGTTAAATGATGAGTCACTATCAGAGCAATTGTCTGTGCAGTAACTATTGCTTTTCTCCTTCTGGATTTTTTTCTGCCTCTCTTGAAATCGTAGTTCATCTTCTTCAAACTTGTTAATCATAGATTCCACCACTGCCATCATGATGTTCTTTAGGTAATGCATCATCTCTTTGTACCTTTAAATCAACAGTAGTGCTAGTAAGAGAAAGTCTATCAGCATAAATTTAAACAGTCAACTAAATTATAATTATATTCTCTATGAAACAGAGAAGTCGCTAAGAAAGAACAAAACTCTAAGAAACCAAGAGTACAGATATAAACATAGACATTCATGGTCAACTGATTTTTTACAAGGTGCTATATCGATTCAGTAAGGAAATATATGGTGCTAGAAAACTGGATTTTTACATGCAGAAAGATGAAACAGAATCTTTGTCCACAATGTACATGGAAACAAATTCTGAATGTATTAAGAACCCAAATATGCAAACTAAAACCATAAAATTTTTAGAACAAGCATAAGCAATGCTGTCAGACCCACATTTTGACAATGAATTATCTAATAACAAAATCATAAACAGCAAAAGACAAAGTAAAAAAAAAATCAGACTTCTCACTCAGTCATTGTGATCAAGTCAGAACCAACTCAGATCTGATCGTCAAGCAGGTTTCAGAGCTATAAACCACATGAGAGGACATTGCTCAGGCTTCTCCCATGAATCAGCTGGGCGATTCTAAATTAAAGTTAAGTCCATGAGAACCAATATCTTAAGTCTCTCCTACCTGAATTTAAAAATCACCTTAAGCATAGATTTGAAACTTTGAATACTAATGATTGAAGATAAGATGAGCCGTAAGATGGCATCAAGGATAATATGCATTAACAGAGCAAATGGTCATTACAAATACATAGGAGAAGGAAAAAGCCAAAATGGAAGTCTGAAGAAATTGTGCAAATTGCACTAGAGTGTTAAGAAGCCAAAACAAAAAGAAGAGATACTGAACTAAAATAGTTGAACAGAAGATTTCAAAGAGCAACTGTAGAAGACACTGAAAAGTTTTAAAACAGACCAGGCAGAGTGCTAAAATTGGAGAATAAAAAGGAAAGAACTCACTTGGAATTTCTTTTTTTTTTTTTCTGGGTGTGGTTTTTTTTTCTTTTTTATTTTCTACATTTATTTACAAAATTTGAATACATTGTTTTCAAGAACAAATCTTTTCAATTTCCCTCACCCCCCACCTATCAAATTGCACAACCCCATGATTACTCTCCCCCTCCCTTTGCACATCCTCCTCCCTCTGCTTCCACCCTTTTCCCACACCTCTTGGATCCTTATACTCATTCTACAATAAAGGTTTTATACAATATTTATCCTTGTGGGACTAAATTAGTTCACTCAGCATAACACTCTCCAGTCCCTCCCAAGTTAGGTAATGATTTATAAAATCATTTCTCTTGTGTGCTGCATAGTATTTCAGTGTGTGAATGTACCACAATTTCTCAATCCATCTGTTTGTGGTTGGACATCTGGGCTGTCTCCATGTTCTTGCGATGGTGAATAATGCTGCTATGAACACAGGTGTTTAAATCTCAGTTTGTGCCTCAGTTCTTATTTTCTCAAAGTATATTCTAATTAATGGAATAGCTGGGTCATACAGAATTTCTATGTTCAGTTTTATGAGGAAGCATCAAATTTAAGCTTCAAGTTGCAATACTGAGAGATGATGGTATGGATAAAAGTCTTGAATGATCCAGGAAGCACCAAAAGAAGATGAAAGGAATAGACAGAATAAGTGAACCGAAAAGAATTTGGCCTACACTGAAATATTTCATGAAGTACCACACAATAAGAAGCCAATGACAATGAAGAAAGAAGTTCAAGCTGCACTGAAAGGATTTGCAAAATATAAGGCCCAAGTAATCAATAGGATAGCAATTAACATATTCAATTAATAGATGCAGTACTGGACACGTTAATCAGCTGAAGCCAGATTTGGAGGACAGCTCCCTGGCTGACTTACTGGAAGAAATCCGTATTTGTTCCCAGACCAAAGAAAAGTCATCCAACAGAATATGGAAATTATTGAATAATATCATAAAGTCACATGCAAGCAAATTACTGTTGAAGATCATTCAAAAAAAGCTAGTAAAGTACCTAGAGAACTGGAGAAGTACTACCTGGATTTAGAAGAGACCATGGCACCAGGAATATCATTGCTAATGATGGAGGGAGCTCTGAAGGCCTAGTGGCAAGAAGCTGCACTGCAATCACAAAGACATGTGGTCCAAGGCCACCAGCTGCTCTGCAGAAGAAAGAGAGGCAATCTCCTTCCACGTGATTAACTGTCTGTGAAAACCCACTAGAGGGTCTGCTATGTGTCTATTCCAACTCTCCAGTACACAACAACAATGTCAGATAGACCCTGGCTGAAAGCAGAGAATACCAGAAGAATGTCTGTGTCTTTTATAGACTATGCAAAGGCACTTGACTGAGTGGATCCTAATTTGGCTAACATTGAGAAGAATGCGAATGCCAGAACACTTGATTATGTGCATATAGAACTTATACCTAGACCAAGAGACAAACTGAGCAAGGAATGCTAAATGGTTTAAATTAACAAAGGTGTGCATCAGGGTTTTTTCAGAATTTATCTTTATGACTTTCCCAGCAATAACCTGACTTTGCTATGTAGATGAGTGGGAATAAGTGAATCGGCACGTTAACTTATATACAAGGGTCTGGCAATCTACCATTCCACAATAGGATTGGCCAATCTCAACAACCTTTAAAAGGATTGGCTAGTCTCACCAATAAGTCAAATAACTTTAGCTAGAAAATCAGAATTCTTCCCAGCCAAAGAAAAAGACCTTCTCCAACCCAGTAAAAAAGCAGAAACATGCAGAACACGTTTCAGGGTAGTAGCAGTAGCCATGACAGAAGTAGAGAATTTACTTAAGATGGGACTTTGGGGATGGGGAGAAGCCAATACTGGCAGGTCTGAGAATTTTGTTGGACAGTTAGAAAGGGAAGCATATTGGCAGGACTGAGAACTTGGAGACACTTAGAGTCATAAGGTTTGAGGCTGAGGTGCCTGTGTGCACATTTCTGGAGGTGTCTTGACTACACTGGGTTAGTAATATGGATTATACCGTCTTGACCCCCCTTATAAGGTCCTGTGTGATCTATGAGCTGTCACATCAGATTTTGGACCAAGCAAAACAGTGAGACTCGTGTAGAGATGAGGCATGGGAGCATGAGAGCATATTTGGCCTCATGGGTATTGGCTTTGTGTTACTGATGCTGTGAACAAAGACGGTCCCCTCGGTGAAGAGAGTATAGTCAGATATGGTGCCCCTATGTGGTCCTTGCTCTCTTTACAGTTGTATCCTCTCTCAATACCTATTCACACTGCATGATGTGCAAATTATTTGAGAAGAGAGAATCTATGAAGAAGAATGTGGCATCAGGATCAAAGGAAGACTCATCAACAACCTGTGTACATAACAACTTTGCTTGCCAAAAGTCACAAGGACTTAGAGTGCTTGCTGCACAAGATTAAAGACTACAGCCTTCAATGTGGATTACACTTCTACATAAAAAAAAATTCTCACCACTGGCCCCATAGGCAAACTCATGATAGGAAAAAAAAAATACTGAAACAATGACTTCATCTTATTTGGATTCTTAATCAACACCTTTGGTACCAGCAGTCAGGAGATCAAGTATTACACTGGAAACATCTGTAGTCAGGGACATCTCCAAATTATTGAGGAATAATGATCTGAAAGCTGTATAATGAATAAGGACGACAGAGAATAATTGATGCCTTTAAGCTATGGTGTTGGAGAAGAGTACTGAATATCCCAGAAAAACAGGGATATATGTGTTGGAGAAAATGCAACCAGAGTGCTCCTTGGAGACAAAAGATGACAAGGCTGCTTCTCACATACTTTGAGCATGTTGTTAGGAGAGGCTATTCCTTGGAAAGGACTATCCTGGTTGGAACGGTGGAAAGTCAGCAAAAGAGAGGAAGACCCTCAAGCAGAGAGTCTGACATAGAGACTGCAGCAATGGGTGCCATACACAGCCTCTTACCACTAGGCCACCAGAGCTCCCTATATAATAGGTTATATTACAGGCTCTGGTGGCCTAATGGCAAGAAGCTAAGCGGCAATTCTGAAGGCACTCAATTCAAGGCCACCAGCTGCTCCACAGGAGAAGGATGGGTAATCAATCTCCTCCCTTATAATTAACTGTCTCTGAAAACCCACTACAGGATCAGCTCTGGATTGGTTCTGACTCTATGGCACACAACAATAACAACAACACAACCTATACAAGTTTACATACCTGTAACATGGAGAATTGGCAAAAGTCATTTAATAAGTATATTTACAACCATTAAAAAAATAATCTGTTGAAGCTTCTTGCTATACAAATAACACCTTCACAGATTTGTTTCCTTGGTTTAGAAGGTTAAGGTTATGATAAGACTATCAAGTTAATTGGTCAAAATTAATAATTAGTGCTTATGTTATATCTCCTCATTTGTCACCCCCCTCCTGGGGTCTTAAGGCATACAAATGGTCATCTAAGGCACAATAAGGAGTCTCTTTTCATCTAGAACAACAGATGAAGAAGAGTCAGAACAGGAGTAGAATGGAGAGTATGTGAGGAAGCACCAGCTGCTCCAGAGAAGAAGGATAGCTAATCTTTCATTTAGTCTTGCCATTTACTGGTCCTGAAAACTGGAGAGGGTCAACTAGGAGTCAGTTCTGACGCGATGTACATAAAAACAACAACTTAGATTCTCTGACTAATTATTTCTGTGGACAACCACATCCATCATTATGAGATAAGGGATGGATGGTATCTGTTGTTGTTGTTATGTGCTGTCGAGTCGCCTGCGACTCATAGCGACCCTATGTACAACAGCCCTAAACTCTGCTCTGTCCTGTGCCAATCGCACTGTCTCTGACACACCCATCGGATTACCCCAGTCACTGAATCAATCCACCTCCTAGAGGGCCTTCCTCTCCTGCGCCGTCCCTCCACCCTCCCAAGCATGATGTCCCTCTCTAAGGACCGGTCTCTCCTCACAACATGTCCAAAGTAAGTTAGGCGGAGCCTCAGAATCCTTGCCTCCAAGGAGCCACCCAGTTTAACCCTTTCCA